CCGGTGTGCGCGCAACCCTCTGCGGAGATCGTGCGTGTCGAGTGCGCAAAATGCAGGCACTGGCGACTTTCTAGTGCTACTTCAGTACGCGGAGCAATCTGTGGAGCTGGAAGCTGAGAACTGGCGACTTTGTAGTACAACTTGAGCACGCGGAGTCTCTGGGGAGCTGGAAGATGAGAACTGGCGACTTTGTAGTACAACTTTAGTACGCGGAGTAATCTGTGGAGCTGGAAGCTGAGAACTGGCGACTTTGTAGTACAACTTTAGTACGCGGAGTATGTGGGGAGCTGGAAGATGAGAACTGGTGACTTTGTAGTACAACTTTAGTACGCGGAGTATCTGGGGAGCTGGAAGATGAGAACTGGCGACTTTGTAGTACAACTTTAGTGCACGGAGCAATCTGTGGAGCTGGAAGCTGAGAACTGGCGACTTTGTAGTCCAACTTTAGTACGCGGAGTATCTGGGGAGCTGGAAGATGAGAACTGGCGACTTTGTAGTACAACTTTAGTACGCGGAGTATCTGGGGAGCTGGAAGATGAGAACTGGCGACTTTGTAGTACAACTTTAGTACGCGGAGTATCTGGGGAGCTGGAAGATGAGAACTGGCGACTTTGTAGTACAACTTTAGTACGCGGAGTATCTGGGGAGCTGGAAGCTGAGAACTGGCGACTTTGTAGTACAACTTTAGTACGCGGAGTATGTGGGGAGCTGGAAGATGAGAACTGGTGACTTTGTAGTACAACTTTAGTACGCGGAGTATCTGGGGAGCTGGAAGATGAGAACTGGCGACTTTGTAGTACAACTTTAGTAGGCGGAGTATCAGGGAAGCTGGAAGATGAGAACTGGCGACTTTGTAGTACAACTTTAGTACGCGGAGCAATCTGTGGAGCTGGAAGATGAGAACTGGCGACTTTGTAGTACAACTTTAGTACGCGGAGTATCTGCGGAGCTGGAAGATGAGAACTGGCGACTTTGTAGTACAACTTTAGTGCACGGAGCAATCTGTGGAGCTGGAAGCTGAGAACTGGCGACTTTGTAGTCCAACTTTAGTACGCGGAGTATCTGGGGAGCTGGAAGATGAGAACTGGCGACTTTGTAGTACAACTTTAGTACGCGGAGTAATCTGTGGAGCTGGAAGCTGGGAACTGGTGACTTTGCAGTGCAACTTTAGTACGCGGATGAGTCATCTCTCGCGGCTGAGTGGGAGCTGGAAGATGAGAACTGGCAACTTTCTAGTACAACTTTAGTACACGGAGCAATCTGTGGAGCTGGAAGCTGGGAACTGGCGACTTTGTAGTGCAACTTTAGTACGCGGAGTATCTGGGGAGCTGGAAGATGAGAACTGGCGAAGTTGTAGTACAACTTTAGTACGCGGAGTATCTGGGGAGCTGGAAGATGAGAACTGGCGACTTTGTAGTACAACTTTAGTACGCGGAGTATCTGGGGAGCTGGAAGATGAGAACTGGCGAAGTTGTAGTACAACTTTAGTACGCGGAGCATATGGGGAGCTGGAAGATGAGAACTGGTGACTTTGTAGTACAACTGTAGTACGTGGAGCAGTCTGTGGAGCTGGAACCTGAGAACTGGCGACTTTGTAGTACAACTTTAGTACGCGGAGTGGAGAGCTGGAAAATGAGAACTGGCGACTTTGTCGTACAACTTTAGTACGCGGAGTATCTGGGGAGCTGGAAGATGAGAACTGGCGACTTTGTAGTACAACTTTAGTACGCGGAGTATCTGGGGAGCTGGAAGCTGAGAACTGGTGACTTTGCAGCGCAACTTTAGCGCGCGGATGAGTCATCTCTCGCGGCTGAGTCATCTCTCGCAGCTGCTCTGGCGCCCCTGCAGCTGAGTCATGTCTCCCGACCACCCGGCTCTC